CTGCAACTAGTATTTTACTGAGATGAGCTAAGAAGCTGCATATTTGCTGTAAAGAGTGGTATCTATCTGCACATCTTCTTCTAATTCTCCACCACAAAGCAAATATGTTTCTTAAAATGTCAAACCATTACCTCAAGGCCTCATTTTTAGAAAGCCCTCTGTTTAAATCCATTTCATAACCCTTATAGAGTAACAATTACCATATCATTCCACTGGGATGATAGCATGTGGAACAGCTTTTATTTTGCAAAAATGCCTTTGATGCTGGGCGCTACGTCCTTTCTACCAGGATTATGTAAGTGAAGTCAGCAGCTTCTGCGGAAGATATTATAATGGCTGCTTTCCCAGAAGGACAGCTTTGTCTATTAAGGATCATTAACACTGTGCAAACCTTTTATCAAAGGGAACAAATGTAGTCTCTCATTTGTACTTTGACCTTGTCCTTGATCGTCCACTTTCAGCACTGCTTAAAAGGATGCAAAACATTATCCGTTCCATTCACGCATAAGGTCAGAAAACATTTCCCACTTTTGTGGAACTTCTTAATTAGCCTGCCTCCTTTAGCTGTGACACGAAGCCAAATAAACACAATCGGCTCAACTCTTTGGTCTGCCCTCCTTTTCCGAAGCGTACAGAGCTTTTTGAATTCTGCAGTGATGTCCTTTTTTTTTTTCCTTCTCGATTTTGCCACAGATGATCAAACACATATGCTTTAAGACGGAACACAACAACAGCAATGTCATTACAAATGCATGAGCATACCTTTGGATCATCATCATCTTATCATCTGTCTGTTCTTGTAGACTCAATGTAAACATGCCAGTAGTAATTTTTGTTTTTAAATATTACCCCAGGGATGAGGCTCATCAATGATCTTTTTTGACATCCATTTGAAGAGTTTGTTTGATCTTAATACAACCTTAAGAAACAAAGGATACTATCTATGTATTCGTATCATCTCCATGGGAAGCATAAAAGACCACATGCTTAATATTGCTGTAATTTATCTTGAGAAGTCTCGAGGTTGCATACATAATTATACCTTTGTACAAGTCTTGGGTTTTCTATGGAGCTTCAAATGTTTCAGCCTACTTAAAAAAAAATACAAAAAAAATCTGCAGATAGGGGGAAATAGTACTCTGGTGTTGCCAGAAAACTGTACCAATTAGAATTATTAAGGAACCTTTCAGGTCTAGTGTTGCTAAGTGCAGGGCCAAATGAGTAGGGTTTAATGTAGTCCAGCTAAATCTGTGTGGACCTGGCAACAATCTGTTACATCTTATCATATTGCGAGTTTGGAGCTATTAAGTGCCAATTTCTTTCTCAGATAGATTCTAATGGGACAGAAATTGCAAGAACTACAATTAATTCTATAGATAATGCTTTCAAAGCTTCTTAAACAGTTTTACCTCTCCCTATGTCCTATATTCCTATGGCCTATAATTTCATGATCAAATTGGTTGGTTCTGGTACTGATGTCTTTTTTTTAAATTAAATGTTTTTAAATGACTGCTTCAGTATCCCAAAAGGACTTTACATATGATTTTTACTTACAACAGCTGAACACAAATAGTGGCGATAGCAATCCATACCAAAACAAAAAAAATATGCGGAAGAAGACAATTTGCCAGCTACACAATTCAAGCTTCTCCACTAAAAAATTATTAGTAAACTCGACTAATAGAACCAAAATAGGACTGCCAAAAACAGCACTGCCAGAAACTCCCAAATTAACTAATAATTAATAAACAACAATGAAAAAGCAACTGAGGGATAACACCGTTGATGGACTTAAGGGAGAAAGAGAAAGAGAGAGTGAACCTTGCCCACCTTCATGCACCAGCTTCTCTGACTATATATAAGAGTGCAGTCAGCTTTCTGCTGCCAATCATTACTTGGGATGACTCAAAGAGGAGAGAGCACCTTAATAAGGATGACAGAAAATCAATGATGATATCAATCTATCTATCAGTGATGATAGATGTGCTGGTGCGCTGAGGCATGTAACAGGCAATCACTTCTTCTGCGAGAAAAACCTACAGTACTGTAGGCTTGGATAACTTGGAAAAGTGCTTTTTAAATTTACTCTGGTTATCTGGTTGTCTAATATTGATGTTTTATGATCTGAAACATGTAAGCGTGACAAATATGCGAAACAAATACATAATAATAAAAAACTTATGTTGTATCTGCCGCTACCTCTCCCACATGTTTGGACCCAGAGCTGAAGGGGGTGGCTGGACCAAGACAGCTGGAACCTATTGCTAGGTAGAGCTAGCTGGCCATAGATAACCCTGAACCCTGAATTGAATATGTGGAACTGGATAGATGGATGTCTCTCCATCTGTCTGTCACTCTGTCCATCAGTCCTCGGTGGCACTAAAGGTTCAGGAAACTGCTGGGGTGCTTTTGTCTCATGGGACACTGTGTTCCTTTCTCTTTTGCCTTCTACCACCATCAGACTTGTCGTCAATGAAAGATATCAAGTAGGCTTAGCACAGACAACACAAGACAGTCAAAGCAGCCACTGATTTAACAACGGTCTTATTATTTTATTTAACACACTGAAATGTACTGGGCAGCTTACTAGATGCCAATTAATGTTGTTTTAGTTTATATAGAGTTTTGTTTTCCTCTTAAAATATAAATTAAACACCAAATGCTACTGAACATCTGGATTTTGTGCAAAAACTTTATTTCTTATTGTTTATATTGGTATGCTGCCTGTCTTGTCTTCCTTTTGGCTAATCGCTTTGCCATCATCACTCTCAGCAGTGACAGAACCATTTAGTTAAAGAGGTCGTATGTCACATTTTGTTAAGCTCTTGTTTTGTTTCTTTGTTCAAATTACTCTTTAGACAAATACTGTGCGATACTGAGGTGCGGAAATAAGGTTATTTGATTTTAATGGGCGTTTTTCTGGTAACAGTTGGACAACATCATATTCAATAATAATTACAAGACTTGTCTTCATCTCTGGTTGCTGTGGGTTCATGTGTCCGCTGACAAAAATATCTGTAATGAAATGAGTTGGGATGAGTTGGGGAGGGCGAGAGAGCTCCCTCAGATTGTAGTCACGTCCATTCTGTTAACATCCAGAGGCCGTAGTGGTGCAGTTATAGAACGAGGAATGTGCAGCTTACTTTTTGAGTAAAGCACTGTTAGAGTGGAATAACCACAACGTGGTGATTGTGAAATTAATTTAGCCTATTTTTGTGTAAGAACTGCAACCTGCCCCAACAATTGTGGAGGTTTTGGTTATGCTCTGAAAGCTTCCTACAGCCACTCGTACAGTGGGCATGAACCCTTTCTTACCAGGTGAGTCAGTCATTCTGTAAATATTATCAGAACCGGAGTGCTTCCCATTTCATTGACTTTTAATTAACAAAACTACATCCACACTCTAAGAATATGCCTCTTTTTCTAGCAGTTGCCAGTAGTTTTTTTTTTTTTAAACTTTCTTCATGGCATAGATTCAACAGGGTATTGTATTGACATCATAGCATTGTACAATTTCTGCAGACTTGTTGACATCACATCAATGATGCAAACCTCCTGTCTCACCACATCCTAAAGATGCTATATTGTATTTGAGACTGGTGAGGTGGAGCCCACCATGATCAACTCATCATCATGTTCAAGAAACTAGTTTAAGATGATTTGTGACATGGCGTTTGTCTTGCTGGAAGCAGAAGACGGGTACACTGTTGTCATAAAGGGATGGACGTGATCAGAAGCAACACTCAGGCTGTTTTATTTAAATGATGCTCAGCTGGTACCAAGGGACATAATAGTGTGCCCAGCAAAAGCCTGAAATGTTGATACAAGCCTGGATCTTTGTCTAATTCTGACCCTACCATCTGAATGTTGCAGGAGAAACTGAGGCTTGCCCAGCTTTGGTGAGTCTTTTGCTTATGTAGTCAGTCTCCTTCATAGTTTAAGGTGTTGTGTAATCAGAGATAATCTTCCATATATCTTGGTTGTGTTGACGGTTTAATTGAGATACAGTTGAGTTACTTCCTACTAGCTCACAAACATTCTGGCCAGTCTCCTCTGACCTCTGACGTCACCAAAACATTTTCCTCCAGAGTATTGTCCCTCCCTGGATGTTTTCTCATTCTCTGTAAAACTTAGAGATGATTGTGTAAGAAATTCCCAGTAGATCAACAGTTTGTGAAATATTTATACCAGCCTGTCTGGCACCAACAACCATGACACATTCAAAGTCACCTAAATCAACTTTCTTCCCCATTCTGACACTCAGTTTGATTTTCAGCAGGTCATCTTGATCCTGTCTACGTGCCTAAATGCACTGAGTTGCTGCCACATGAATAGCAGATTACATATTTGTGTTAACAAGCAGTTGAACAGGTGTACCTAACAAAGTGGCTGGTGAGTGTATGTGAAGGGCTAATAGAAGTGCTGGCAATAGACAGACTGAGGGGGGAAAAGGGCCATCTTTTTTAGATTCAACACCTGGAACCAGCAGCAAAAAAAACCTGATTCATAATCACCTCTGCACCTCTGATATTATAGCCACCACATGCAGCTATTACTGTGGGGAAAAAAGCCATCACTGTCATTACCAAGTTTGTTTTGGCCTGTATGCTAGGAAACAAGAATGACCCACACGCTTTTCATCATCTGTCTCCTAACTCTGCCCTTGCAGAGAAATCTGGCAGTGGTGACAGTGGTGATATCTGATGCATTAATATACAATGTAAGCAGTGCTTTAATGCTGGTGGGCACTTTTCGAAAAAGAAAAAAAAAGGCTCTATATATAGAGAGATTTGCAGTTTATAAATAAAATGCAATAATCTCATGACGTTTACAGTGTCTTAAAGCAAATATGAAGAAAATTGTATAAGATATCATATCAAATGTCAACGTTTTTTTTTTTTAATGATTATTATTATAAAAAATGGTGTTGGTGAAAAAAGTGCTAGAAAAGAAAAGTTGGGTAACAACAAAAGGTGAAAAATGTACAACTGTCTTTGAAAGACTGTGTTGGCAATTAGTTCATTTTAAGAACATAATTTCTCAGTTTAAAAATGTCAGTAGTTACCATCTAGGTTCATAATTTTATTTCAAGATTTCAGGAATGCTTAAAATATCCACAAAACCACAGTACTGAATGGCTTTGCTGTTAGAGCCATCAGCCAGAACTGCATTAAAAACAGCAGCTAATTGGGGACACTGTCCACGTTCACCTCTGCATGCATCAACGGGATTCTTCAATTTCCTTTTGAACTACACAAGAGAGAAATAATTAGGATTTTGACAGCTGTCTGAGTCATGAGATCCAAGAGGGGGCTGGAACAGGTGACCCAATCTTAGCCATACTGATGACACAGCTTACCTTGACAGCTGAAAGAGGGGCTCTGCTCCACCCACTCCCAATCTGTGTGTGTTTGAGTACTCATCAGAGTAATAAATCTTCCATCCAACAAACAAACCTTCATGAACTCTAGTGGAACTGAAGAAAACAGCGATGGGAGACAAAAAAAAAAATGCTTCACGAGAGCAATTTTATTCAGTATTTTTGGTGGATAAGCTACAAAAGAGCTTCTTGCTCACATGACTTACCTGCTGTGATAAGCCATGTAAGCGTGGACACATTTCACAGCTTAGACCATAATCATTGCAAATACCGAGGCTGCAATCTGTAATAAACCCAAGCATTTTGGTTTCCAAATTAAACTGTGTCCAGTGCAGATATGCAGCTGCGGTAATGGTGGGTTTGGCGAGTCATTACATCTGACAGCAGTGGTAGGGTTTGTCAGGTAAAAAGCTCTTTAGCCAAACCGACCAGCAAGATAACCGTCATATCCATTAAAGCACAACTGAGGCCAAAGACCAAAAAACAGCTGGTTTCAGATCAGTTTTACCAGCAGTTTGACTCAAAATGGAGTTAATTAAAGTGACAAATGAAACAGAAATGCAAGGTGCTGTGTTTAGAAGTCTTTACATATTACCATAATTACTTCTATGGGTCCTGCATGAAAAAGATACCAAAAAAAATGTTGTATTTATTTGGAATATACCGAAAACTTAGCTGCGAACAGTTGTCACAGTCTTTTATTCTCAATTCACTTCTCATAATCTGTACTTCTTGCAAAAAAACATGCCAGCATGTAGTTTCCCAAGGTCATCTGTGAGCAGCGAGGCACAGATTTCAATGTTGAAATGAGTAGTTGTCAAGTATGTTATTAACAGTGGGATCTTTCTTGTCGTCACGTCTCCTGCTCCTCCAGGCTCTTCAGGTTGTCGTTAGACTGTCGAGGGGGAGAAGTCACCTTCACCGGGACCCTCAGGAGAGGCAGAAGCAGTAACTCTGGTAGGACTGAGACCGAGTCATGTTTTCAAATTGATATGTGTCAACTGAGGCAAAAAAAATGTCAGCTGAAACTCTCTAAATGTTGTAGTTAAAATTTGCATCATTTTCGTTATTATTCAAGCGCGTTTGCCTGTCAGTATTTGTGCATCAGGCTCATGTACATCCAAAATGTAATATAGCTGCAGAAGATATTTTTCCAGTTCCCATTGCATTCATTAATGATGACTCGATAGAGTGTGACTTAGTGATAAAGGCTTTGTGGCTCTAAGCAAAGAAAATCTCTTGCTTCACTAAAATAGACATTTTGCTACATTTAGATTTTGTGAGGATATGTCAAATAAGATAATGGACAAGTTTTAGTAACAGAGGGAAAAACTGTAACACAATATCCCTACTGAAGCCTATAAAATGATCTCACTCTGCGATAGCAGACAATACACTTCAACACCATCCTTTCATTCAGGGTGATGCATCAAGGGAAGTAATTACAGTCACTACTGGCAGATCGATGACTAATGCTGACAACAGTACCTTAGTCTATAAAACCCTGATTTTCCTCAGCCGAGTTATAGCAGGCAACAAAGAACCGTCCTTTGTATTAAACATACAGCCTGTTTATTATTACAGAGACTATCTGCAGGCAGTGTGTATGTGTTCATCTGAAGGTAAGCTGGCAATCATAATCAATGCTATTATTAATATTTTTTCCCTTTTAAATAAATAAAAATAAGTTAAATGAATCATTTACATTGCACTAAATCGTAAAGCTAATTAGCTGTGCTGATTATAACAGCTTTCATTTTTTTCCATTCCACAGTTGGCAAAAAGGCGTTTTTGAGGAATTTTACAACAATGTGGATTTTCACTCTGGTTCTGTTTTTGGGAAATCTTCTTGTCGGTGAAACGGCCAAAAACCAGGACTCAGAACCATCTCCTGTAATTGAGCTCTCTGCAACAACCTCCCCTGGTTTTTTAATACTGGAAAAGGAGAAATCCAACAGCTCAATTCCTCCACCTCAAGTAGCAGGACCAAAAACATCACACCCTCCTATGTGTTCAGAGTCAGCTGGAATCAGAGTCACCTTCAAATATGTCAATGTTATAGTTTCCCTGGTTGTTTTCGTTGTTGGAATAGTCGGGAATTCCGCCTTACTTCGAATTATCTACGTAAACAAACGCATGAGAAGTGGCCCTAACATTCTCATTGCGAGCCTTGCTTTGGGAGATCTAATCCACATTGTGATAGACATTCCAATCAACGCTTACAGGGTGAGTTATTTACCACATGGTGTGCAATTATTGTTTTCTTTTCTGCACTTAATTTCAGCTGGAATTGATTGTGGGTGTTTTTCTTTTTTTAAATTGCCAAAAATGCCCTTTTGTTTTTGTTGCAGCTCATGGCAGAAAATTGGCCCTTCGGTTTAGTACTTTGCAAACTCATTCCCTTCATACAAAAAACCTCTGTTGGAATTACTGTGTTGAGCTTATGTGCCTTGAGTGTTGACAGGTAAGGAGATAAACAGCACTGTCCTGTGCCCTCCAAGAAAATAGTGTTCCGTGCCTCCTATCTGTATTTCATCAGGCAGACAGATTTATTTAGCATTAGCCCTTGAAATGTTCTTTAGCTGAAAATGCATCATTGTTACAGACAAAAAGTTCCTCAAGCCATAACATTTTCTCATTGATTTTACAGATACAGAGCTGTTGTGTCCTGGAATCAAATCAAAGGCATCTGGGTTTCAGTGTGGACAGCAATTGAAATAGGTCTGATATGGGTTATTTCTATCCTGCTGGCTGTCCCTGAAGTTGTGGGCTTTGATATGATAACAATGGACTATAAAGAGAAGCGTCTCACGATATGTCTACTACACCCAATGCAAACCACGGGGTTCATGCAGGTAATGTAATTGTCTTCATAACATTTAAGTTTTCATGTCAATTGTCAAAGATAACTAAAAAATGTAACAATTATCATAGTTTTTCTTCTGTCTTCAGCCAGCAGATGCAAAGTACGCTTGTTTTCAACCTACACGTGTGTCAAATATTGTTTCTTGAATGGTGCTCTCGCGTCCACGACTGATAGCCTTGTCGTGTTCAACCAACAGATTTATAAAGCAGTGAAAGACTGGTGGCTCTTTGGCTTCTACTTTTGCATGCCACTAGTTTGGACTGCAGTGTTCTACACGCTGATGACCAGGAAAATGCTGAGAAAAACTGAAACTACATTATGCGAACACATCAAGCAGGTAGCATTGTGGTTTTTGGCAGATTTTGCATCATTCTGGCAATGTTTCCTTTTTAAAGCTTATTTTGATCATGTCCTTTCTTTTGAAGAGAAGAGAAGTTGCAAAAACTGTCTTCTGCCTGGTGATTGTGTTTGCACTCTGCTGGTTGCCTCTGTACCTCAGCAGAATCTTGAAATTAACAATTTATGATGAAAAAGATCCTAATAGGTGTCAGCTGCTGAGGTGAGCACAAAGTACTAAGAACCTTTAATTTAAGAGTGTATTATACTTTATATCTTAAATATATAATATATATATATATATAATATATATATATATATAATATATATTATATATATATAATACTATATATATATATGTATTATACTATATATATATATATAATATATATATATATATATTATAATAAAATATCTATCATAATTAATTTATTTTATATATTATATATATATATATATATATATATATTTTTTTTTTTTTTTTTCTTTAACTTTTTTCCCCAACAAATTTTTTTTTTTTCTGCTGTTCACTGGCCAGCCTATGAGCTTTCCTGACATTTTCTGACAACTCTTTTTCAGCGTCTTTCTTGTCCTTGACTATTTTGGCATAAATATGGCATCCCTGAACTCATGCATCAACCCTATTGCATTGTACATTGTCAGCAAAAGATTCAAGAGATGCTTTAAGGTAAGCGTCATGCTCTTATTGTTATTCTTATAGATGGCACTATTTAGTTTAAATAAATCAGGTATATCTTGAAAACATATTGGTCCACATTGTATGAGCTATCAGGGGTGTCATTAAGGACATATGGAGTCATGTCTGTAAAATAGCCAGACTGCAGCAAGTAATAACCTGAGGGGGTAATAAGTGAAAATGGTCTGAGAAAAAAACACATCATCAGACACTTGGCAATCTACCAGACAGTTGGTCACTGAATCAAAGTGACGTGCTATAAAAGAAGAAGAAAACATCGCTTCGAGGCAATTTTTAAGGGAAAAAAAAATCAAGAGCCTTTATTGTACCACAAGTTCAGAAGAAGATACCTAAAACATTCTTTCATTTATTTTAGCTATACTTACATTTTTTTGCACTGCACAATACATGGATTTCTTTCTTCATAGCAACATATTTTTTTTTATGTAATATTTATGAAACACCCAAAGCTGAAGCTTGCTTTAAACAACTGTCTTTCCAGACTACATTTCTATTCCCGATAAGGTTTGCGCTCTCTGAATTAATGAAAACTCAATCTGTGGATCATTAGCGATTGCTTTACTGTAGATTTGGACAGGAAATACTTCACATAAAAACGTCATAATAGGCAGTTTTTGCCAGGTGAAGCTGATGGGAAATGTTTGTTGTCCTCTGACCAAATTTTCCGGGTGGTCCTTCAGGCATGTCTGTGCAGGTGTCTACCTCTTCAAGCTGTTGCCCATGACGAGATGCAGTCTGTTTTGAAGTCCAGAATGCAGGATCAAGCCTCAGAGCAGAGCTGCAACATCAAAGCTCACAAGCAGACTCCTGTACCTGAACCTGAGCAGGAGAACACCTTACTGTGCTAACAAAACTCACTTTGAAAACACTTTGTGAGATTGTCGATATATCTTTATTAAATATACATGGCCATCAAAACAGCTACAAAGGCAGCTCTATCGGCAGCTCGGCAACCTTGACATGCCATCCTAATAATATAAAATACCTTCTGAATAACATGGAGCCCTGTCTTTTGTAATGCTGTCGTCAGTTGAACATCTGCTTTGGCATGAGCAACCTGGAGTCAGACTGTTCAGACTATTTGCCCTCGAGGCTTGACTCACTCCCTAACATTACATCAGATTTTACCTAGTACCTATCCTGTATCATGCATCACAGTTCTCAAATCACTGTTTTGGGCACGATGTTAACCTGGCACCCATCAACAGAAATCTTGTCACGGCTTAGCGCCTGCATATATATATTATCTTAATTCTGTTTCTGGATTCTGGAAAGACACTATGCCAGAGGAAATTAAGCGAAGGGGAATTCAGAATTATCATGGTGGGTTTTATGAGGTAGGGTGTATTATTATCTCATACTATTTACATATCTGTTAACTTTCATATGCCGCACATCATTTCAAGAGTTTATGGCATTCTTTTCCTGCATGAACCTTGAGAAATATATCAAATTGGTGCCACAAGAAGATTTCGTCTCCACTACTGAATGACTGATTGATGGTGGCCTATTTTTAATGCATTGTTAAATGTGTAATGCATGGAGACACTTTATGAAAGACCTGTGAGTGGGGGAGAAGAAAAACGAAGATGACAGAATGAGGTCAGGAAGAGAGAGGGATTGGGGGGAGTCTGAGGGGGGCACCTGATAGGTCTTCCTGTCACAGGACAAGGCAAGCACAAATAGAGTGCTGCTCTCCCAGCTAACGCTGTATCAGTCTGCAGAAGTGTCTCGACGCTGTGTGCTGGAATGCCTATTAAAAGTTTATCTCGTGTAAGTAAACTTGACTGTTTGCAAAAATGGAGTCGTTTGTTTGAATAAAAGCTTCTGACTTCTTGTTATGCTTTGTGACGCTTATACAAAAGAGAGGTGCATACTGATCAAAGAAAGCCTTTATTTGAATGCTTTTTATTTTTTTGAACTGTTGTATACACCAGCGAAAATAATAAAAACAGTGACAGGTTAAATGAATTACAGTGATTATCTTATATAATCATAAGCAATGTTTTTTAAACTGTCCATAACTGCAGTTATGAAGCCACAGGCTGAGTGTTTTTGCAGTTGCCATGTTGGTGTTTTGAACAGGACGTGACAGGTGATGGGTAAAATCAGTGGTAAACCGAGGACACGACGCGCTTATTGGTTAAGGACTTGTCAATCACAATCACAAGTGACTGACAAGTCCTCTTTGGCAAAGGGCTTGTCAATCACAAGTCCTTAGCGAAAGAGCATTTCCTGGATTATCCTCCTGTCTGATTCTAACAATGGCATTACAAAATGAACTTCATGTTTTATTCAATATGACCTGAAACTAGTGACTGAGCCAATAAAGTCATTGGAAAGTGTTCACTGAGGTCATAGAGCTGTGCTGTTTTCCAATATCTATCCAGCTCGTCTTGTTTTTGTAAACAAAGGAGTCGCCCCTTGCTGGACATGAAGAAGAATGCTGGCTTAAGTCAAATCTCCTTTCAGACCTTTGCTACAGTGCCACCCCTGTAAAAATATTGCCAGGAAAAAAACGCGTCACAAATAATTAATAATTTGCAAAAATATAACTTGCAATACAAATAAATACATTTTGTTTATATAACATGTGTGGTTGCCTTCACGTGTCTGCCAGAATCGATTTTGTACTCAAACTTCACCACGTTATGTGTTATGAATAATATAATTACGTATCGACTTGCTTGTACGGACAGTGGTCAAAAAGGACAGACTGAAAGTTTTTCAGTAATAAGGGTCTGAGGGTGAGTTTTATTTGAAGCTTGGAGTTCAGCCGTCGGGGCGCAATTTTGTGCATCCGTGACCAATTGGCGTTTATGGATTTCCTTGTTTATTGCCTTGTTTGAGAATTTGATTGGACAATTTAACATCACACATCCTGACAGCACAGGCACTCTTGTCTTGTAGAGGAAGAAGAGGCACTCGCTAGCTAGCTCTTGACTAAGGATGGCAATTTCGAGTGCTGCTTGTGTTGAAGTGTTCATGTTTATTCAAGATTTGTGTTTTTAAAGTTGTTTTTTTATAGCAACGGTTTAAGAAATATTACTATTGGTGTCAGATTTGTGTTTTTTTCCCCTTATCTGTAAGATGCTTTACATTGTCCTGTCTGACCCAACTGCGCCCCCACCAATATTTTTACCTCCACTTATCACTGGGGTTAACCACTGGAAGCTGCATCTGTTTTAATTTATTGTTTTTTTAAATTCTGTTGTTATAATGCAGAGCTCTGCTTGAAAACCGTGTGTCCTTGCATGTCAGAACCAATGGTGATAGCAATTATTGTGGACTGAAGCAAGACCCCAAACTCTCAGTGTGCAGTTTAAAAGGTTTATTTGACAGGAATTCAAATATAACAACAAAGACTTGCAGCTGGGGAATTATGGTTCTCCACACAGGAAGTGACTTCTGTCAGAAAGACGAAGGAGGTTAATCCGTGTTGCTGGTAAGTTCTGAAGCCTTTAATGTTTGAACTGAATTGGATTCTTACTTGAGTATTCTAAGCAAAGAGGCAGTGAGGGAAGTGACCGGCCAGGAGGCAGGTGTTGGTGGAGGGTTGAGAGGCAGGTGAGTAATTCCACAATTCCTTTGTGCAGGAGCGGACAAGTCCAGAATATCAGGTAAGTATTTTCCACAGGGGGAGAGCTCTTTAGTCAGCATGATGATGTTAGCTCAGGCAACTTTTAGTTTTTTCTCTCAGTTTTCCTTTTAATTATTTGACTTTTTCTATTTGTTTATTATTTATATCCTATGTGTTTTTATTATTTAGTTTCAATGTACAGCACTTTGTGTCAGCTGTGGTTGTTTTAAAGTGCTCTATAAATAAAGATGGGTGGATGGGGTGGAACCTGGACATCAGAAAGCCTGATTTTAACAATCAAACAATGACAGTCTGGCAAAGAATCAAATCCTGAGGTGGTCCTTAAATACTGTTGAGTGATGATCAGATAAGAAGCAAGCACATTGGCTGAAGAGCAGGAGCCCAGAGTTTACTCTGCCCCCCTCCACCTGAGAGAAGAGGGGAGAGAGAGAGAGAGAGAGAGAGAGAGAGAGAGAGAGAGAGAGAGAGAGAGAGAGAGCAACAAAGGACAACAACCCTGACCATTCTTGGACAGTGACAAGACATTCATACGGCCCTTACTTTGATATGTGTCACTCACCTGAACTTTGTTGCATACTTACCAATTAATCCACTGAACTGGTCTCAAAAGTCCCCAGATCACAGTCCTTTTAAGCATCCTTGGAATGTGAATGGAGCACCTACCCAAAGGACCCAAAGGATAAGTTGCCAATGCCCTGATTTCAGACAATACGAGACACCACCAGAGGTCACCTGTCCACACCACAATGGCTCAAAACTGAGTTTAATGTTGATCACTTTTGTGAAAGCCTGCAGTTTAAAGCTTTGTGTTTGTTTTGTAGTCAGGCAAGAGACAAATGAAAAGTTTCGGCATTTACTCTAAAATTTCTGTTTAAAATTCTGAAAACTTAATTACATTGGCACTGGTACCAATTAACTGAGGTCAGCATCCTCCTGTTTGTGCTAATTTTTATTGCCAGCTAACCGAAGCCAGATCTGTGCACTGTAGAACAACTGCTCCCTAACGTTTATTCCGAGCAAAATGCCGTCTGACTATTTTTTCTCTATTTACTTTTTCTTTATCCGTCTGAGGAAATCAGTCTACAGGCTGTCAGAAAAAGCCATGTAAGTCGGGAAAGTACTTCTTTTTAAAAATCCATTAGCACAATATAAAAGTTAAAACATAAAGGTTTGACATCCTTACACACAGAACTTTGAAAATAGAAAAAAAAATTTTTTAACTGTGTTTTTCTTTAATATTTCTTAATACATCATATACAGAACACAAGCAACTATTTATTCCCACACCACATACATTCAAACCAGCAGGCTGTCATCATTATGTGTCTAATCAAATAACTATGAATACTAGAATAAATCAATCAAAAATTAGAATCAGGTTTCAATTTTAAAGCCGATTAACTTCTATAATATTTTCTGTTGTCTATGTGCAAAAACATAGAGCATCAGAAAAATGCTTATTTAGACTTATTTCTTGTAATCTTTGAAGATCACCTCATTTTTAAATTGCACTTTATTAGAACCATCTGACTCAAAATGTGTTTGTTTGTGATTAGAGATGCCAAAAATATGCTTCAAGAGAACAGAGAAAGTAACGTACACGCTTTTCAACCCACACAGTCACAGTGTCTGCTATGCTCATACACTCATGCATCTCTTTCTGTTCTGACATAAGAGAAACCGTGTCTCTGAGGCTTTGACTGTTGGATGCAACAGCATTGGACAGGACACAGGAGTTCAATATGCTCATTTATACTGAAGCCAATTTGTACAGTTTTTGATCTATGGCCCACATTTTTAAATCACTCCTGTCTGGGTCTCCTGTTTCTTCTTACTTTATGTTTTATGACCCCCCCAATTCCACATACCTTTCTATAGCAATGGATTTGCCATTATAATTCATCATTATTTGTACTGGTAGCTAACTTTAGGGCGATGAGGTTTGCATATATGCAGTAGCACACTCAATCAGATGCTCCTGTCAAATGCTAATTTGTGTCCAAAGCTGTCAAATGCTCAACTCTCTTTTGTTAATGTAAACGCCAGCAGATAATTAACAAATGGGCCATTACTATCATTTCCCAGCAGTAAACGCTCACAACTGCCAGATGACACTGACACAATCAGGCTCCGGTATCCAGAGGAGGGTGACGTCAGTGTCAACATCAACCGGAGAGCACGAGTCTCAGACCTTCTTTAGTAATCTCTGTGCACACATGGCTCAAATATGGCTCCCCATAGTGCTTCCCAGACTCCCCAGACTGTGGATTTAATTAAACAGTGTGAAATTAATTAATCAGTGGGGTGGCAGGTAAAAGGACTTCTCACTGGAACTGCTCACGCAACCAAGACAGGCATTTCATGTGTGCTGACAGTTATTAATTTGCTGTATGTTTGATTATAATGTTTCTATATAGAGATGCTGAAATTCCGAGAGATTAAAAGAGCTTGGCATGGGAAAAAAAAGTCATGCAAATTATCAAAATAACAGCTCCCGAAAATCAAAGTGTAAACCTGTGTTTGATCTGTTCTATCAATTAATTAAAAATTTCAGTTCTGTATAATAATGTGGTGCAAATTAGATGGAAATGAGATAAAATATTCATTTAGTTATCTGGGGAATCTGCCTGGAGGGCTTTTTAGTCTTCAGTCTGGCTCAAAATGCTGTCCATATGGCAATTATGTACAGTAGTATTGCAGGAGGATTGGTCTGATGCCTACTGGCAGAGAGGAGCCTGCCTGTGACAAACTGCTGCTAGGATCTGATGTGAGTTGAGGGAGATAATGAGGCTGTTGTAAGCCTTAAGTATAGAGCCTGCCCCCGGGGTGGCATATCTAAGTGCTCAGGCTTCTTCATTGTTGCACGTGCTGCTGAGGATTAGAAACACATTTACTTTTTTCTTCATAAACTTTGTCAGTACTTCCTGCAACTCTTTAGACAACTTCTGCTTTCATGTGGAAAGCCTCTTGACATTGCTTTGTGGAGGAGCTTTTTTTTCTTTTTCTTTTTTTTTGTGGTTTGTAGATGTGAAGTCTTGATTTGATTCTGCTTTGAGCTATCTATAGCTCTTTTTAAGCACCCCACCAGAGAATGTGAATGTTCTGGGGTACATCCTACGGTGACTGAAGTTGAGACAAACGGCATATTTCAATTGAGAATCTTTTTAATATTTATTACATTGGCATGGCATTTCAAATTAAAATTTACTGACAAGGTAAAAAATGTGATATGGGTGAGGTGGTTTAATTTATATTGTTGATTATACAGGATCCTCTCAGGGAGCCCGTGCCTGCTGTGATTTAATGATACCTGCCCACCTCTTGTGAGAAACATTCACTGCAGGTTGGATGCCT